AGTTTGTCTCTGAGTGTACCATATTCACAAGTTGCTGCCTTTTCTCTCAAGCGTATAACAAAGTTATCAAAAGATTCTCCCTCTTCTTGTTTGCAGCATCCAAACACATACCTTTCATAAATGACATTTTTAGCAGGTTTGAAATAAGCTTCCAGTGCATTTAGAATGGCTGTAACATTGTGTTGCTGATCTCCTGTGAGGGTCGGATTGTGTTCATACACATGCCTGCATTCACTGCCCATGACTCTTCTCAGAGTTGCTGCCTGCACTCCTGCACATTTCACATTCAAGCCTGTAGCCAGAGAATAATCTTCAAATTCAGCTCTGAAAGATTCCCAATTGCTGCTCCAATCCCCACTCATTCTCATCCCCCTCTGGGGGAGGTATGCAATTCATGGCAGTCATAGTTAGTAAGCCTCTGAGCTATCAAATATCAGAAAATCCTCAGTCTCAGGCTGTAGTTCACAAACCAGTGTTTCCCAAAGCTGCTGTGCTCCAAACAAGAGGCTCAGTCCTGATTCAAGTCACTTCTGACACCATGTTTCATGTACAGGAATGCAGACAACACAAGATGCTGGTGTGAGGAATCATGTTGTACAACAGAACTACATCCAGGTCAGCATAGAACAGGAAACAGGAAGTGTAAGGCAATGCAATATTACCATATGCAAGTAGGGTCACAGTATTTGTATAATAACTCTATAACAGATATAGGCAAGAGCAGAATTGTTGGGAGCCTGAGGAAAATGTTCATGCTCCTAGATTAACAAGAGAATTCCACCAGAGCTTTTCCCACAAGCCTGGTCCTAAGACATCCAGGGAATATCCTGGGAGGAGGTAAGTACTGTCAAAGCCTGGTTCTGAACTTGGGTCTTCTGTGGTATGTGGCAATGTTTCTTCTTGCTGAGCCACCTGGAATGCTGGACAGCTCCCTTGATAATTATTTGAATGATCCTGATTGAGCTTGCTTGTCATGAACCTTGAACCCTTTGCTCCTCCCATGAACTTCCTGATTTAAGCCATGCCTCTGCACTTCCTGTTTGCCAGAATATTGTGCTCTCTTCAGCTAGTATCTCACGCCTTGCTTTCTCTGCTGGCATCCATATTTTGCTACCACTCATTATTGACCCTTGGCTTGTTCCTCGACTATGCTTCTGTCTGATACCAGCCTGCGACTGCTCATTACCGACCTTTGGCTTGTTTACTGACTATGCTTCTGTTTGATCCTTACCTGCTTAATACGCTACTGGACCTCCACTTGCACACCTCCTGGTGGGGTGATCCCGAGGACCACGACCTGGTGCTAACATGCAGCAAAATCCATCTCCACCATCAGGAGCTCCTGTGAACACCAGTTAGTACTTAGACTCCGCACCTCAGGTGAGCCCATTCTTTCGCCAGCATGACCCGCCTGTGTATCTATCCTGCTGGTTTTGGTGTGAGCCTTTCCACTGCTATAGCAACTGGTCTTCGAGCCTGACCGTGATCGTGATAGCTACATCTACTCCCAGGACCTCAGGAACAAGATAGAAGAGTAGGGTTTGAGCATATTCCGCTAGGTCAGTCTTCATAATATTGAGATTATTTCCTAATATATTATTGGAGTCCTCTCAACTGTATTGTGGGATAAAAAGCTGATCTTTGGCAGCAATATGTTTTTGGCTTCCTATGAGAATCCTAAATATAGCTGACATTGCCAATGGGGCAATTGAGAGGAATCTGAAATTGAAATAAAGAAAGATTGGACCAGGTAGGACCTTCAATGATGCATATTTATTAATAACAGCTGGGAACAGTCAACATTATGTTGAAGGACATAGGGGCTTGCAGGCCCTTCTCATAATAAATTTTACAAGAGAACTACATTGGCTACGATATGATTGGTTGCCAAAGCTTGTGTCACTGTAACCATAAATCTGATGCCTGTCATGCAATCAAGCTTCATTCTTTCCCAGAATTCCTATATGTTTATTAAACATTTGTAAAAGTCATTGTCTATTCTTCCACCCATATGCTCTCAACCAAGATGGACTTTGAAGATGCCCCAGGAAAGACCAACATTGCAACATTTAAAATGCACGGAAGAGAGACACTAAGTTAAAATTAGACTTGTAGACAACTGCAAAGTTGGACCATAAAAGAAGAGAGACATAGCTCCCCTATAATAGTTATATAACATCCAACTTTATTGTAGATATGCGGTTGTCAGCACGGGGTATTAAGTTACTTTTAGGTATATAGTGTCAACTTCTTTCATGCAACATTATTTATCTATGCATTTCGCAGGGATCTGCATCCTCAGGAGGAATTTGTATAGATGGGTAAGCTGTTCAATAATATCTCACTGCACTGGACGTGACCACCAAGGATGAAGCCGAGCCCCACTGGCCAGGCAACAGGGACTCCAGAAGGACAGGGGGCAGGTGTCCCCTCACGTGTGAACGCGGGGAGCATATAGAGAGCCAGATACTGAGTATTAACAGGAAGCATAATACCACATCCATGCAAGTGCAGTGTGTTGCAGGGAGCTAACCGAAAGGCACAGGGGACAGGCATTATTGTGGCCTTCAATGTACAGAGGGCTATTAAGGATAGCAGACCATCCTACAGGGTTTATAGGAAAAAAATATCCTCATCTTGTGCAGGTGCCGCTGCCACAGCCCTTGTTTAAGGAGTGTCTATTCCCCCTACATTTTAAACATTGTATTGTTGGACTCTCTGGGGCACCTTAAATGTTAATCTTTGTGGAGGGCTTATGGGTTTACATTATCAATTGGATGTGGTGCCCAAACGTAATGTCTGAGGCATCCCAAAACTATTCAATACAACTGATTTTCTTCTTTCACCCAGTTAAATTCCTCTTCTGCAGTATGATACCCAACATATCCATCATTAAATAAAGTTTATCTTTGTTGTCTAACAAAATGAACTCTAATGCACCCCATTCTATGTAATAAATGTCTTACAGTTTTCTACTTATACAGTTTTTATATGTATTTATATATTGATTACACAAAGATGCACTATTATTCATCATATATTATATAGAGGCAGAATTACCTGTTTTATTTTCTTATTACTCTATTTTTTTTAAATATTAATATATAGTGTGTGTATTCTCATAGTCTATTCCATCCCAAAAATTTTTTTCAAAAGTTTTATTTAAAGTTCAATGCATAATTAACACACATGGTTTTCTAATCTTATACTCTATTCACTAAAGTCGTAGACAGTAAAAGTTTTTAATCCATTTCTTGTCCAAGTTGTTTTTCAAAATAAAGGTGAACTACACTACATCTGAGCACCATAAACCAAAACTGCTATTTAATTCATTTTTAATATTCAGAGCGAACTCCATGTCTCCATGTGTTATTTTGCTAAGGAATCACTTTGAAAAAACACCCCCTGGCATTCTGGCCATGGCCATCTTGAGTAAGGGCAGATGATTCATGTAGCAATTACTTTCCGGAATCCATCTGTCCTTAGCTCAGGCATGCAGGAGGGTGTGCTTAGCTGAGAAAAACCCTCCTCCCCTCTGAAGACTCCTGGGATGTATGACATCATTTTGGCCTAGGTCTGAAACCAGGAAGAAACGTTTACAACAAGTAAAAAATTATGTACCTTCCTATCTATTTACTAATACTAGTAGCATAAGGATTAAAAATAGTCAATGTTGATTGAGAGAGTGAAGTTTAAAGAATATCATCCTTGTTCTTAGAAAAATATAGTAGTAAGAGTTTAACTTAGATTTTCTATATAATGAGAGTGTAAGTTGTTATAATATCAATTATACATATGCTAATTAATATGAATAATATGAAATACAGTATATGGGTTAATAGGAACATTCTACTAAAAATCTCAGGATTCAATTTCATGAATGTGTGGTAGTGTTTGTGTTATATAATCTGAACATTAGATTAATCATGAGCCATTATATATAATCCAGTTGTGGATATTGGTGTGCAAATGGCATGTGTAGTATGCTCTGTCCTTCTCCCTTACTGCAGCTCCCTTCCTTGCATTTACCATAAATTCCCAGCAGGTTAAATGACAGTCAGAAGTTGCTCAAGAAAAATATTGGGTACATTGTTTACATAGACTGTTAATCTATTAGATAGAGAGATACAAAGTCATTCACCAGCAGATCAAAGAGATGCGTTCACTGTTCTCTTTCCTGGAAGGTAAGCTGTACCTGAGGAGCTGCAGTGCAAGGATCTCCCTGCTTCCTCCATTCTGTGGTTCCTTTATAAAATATATATATATATATATATATATAATGTACAGTATGTGTGTGTATGTATGTATATATCCAGTTGTGGATATTGGGTGTGCCCCCACTGCAGCTCCTTGCATTTACCAGCAATTCCCAGCAGGTTAAGTGACAGTCAGATTTTGCTTAAAAAAAGATTGGATACAGTATTTCCAAATATTGTTCAGCCATTAGATAGAGATACAGTATATGAAGGAACATTGTTAGTTATATATTTACATTGTTTCATTCACCAGCAGATCAAAGAGAAAAGCTTACTGTTCTCCTTGCTGGAGGGTAAGCTGTACCTGAGGAAGTGCAGTACAAGAATATCCCTGCTTTCTCCATATCTCCTGTAGCTTCATGAATATTTCAGCACAAGTCATCAGGGAGGCAGGTCTGACACGAGGAAGCAAAACCCTGCTCCTTTACTAAGCTGGCTGCTTTCACAAAGAGATACATAGGGTTGATTTACTAAAGGCAAGGGAAGTTGCACTTTGCAAAGAGAATTTTCCTCGGAGCTTAGTGAAGGTGGTGAAACGCTACTTTGCAAAGAATACCCAATCAAATTAAAGGAAGATAAAAAAAAACCTGTATTTTTGCTTGCACATGATTGGAAGTTTTATAAAAGATTAGTATTTGTGAAAAGCTTCTAAAAGAATAGAGCTGGTTGCTTGGGAGATGAAGGTAGTGACATGATGCTATCTCCGGATTCTTCACATCTTCAATCTATCAACTCCAAGTAGAGTTAGAGACCAGTTGTGGTAGCAGTGGAGCTTTGGAGGCTTTGAAATGTCCATGCAGCTCAGAACCCACGCACAATCATATATTTCCAACCTGGTTTAAAAAACAGTACATGGATTCACTTTCAGAGTCTACACCCAAATTTGCCTAATAGGCCTAAAAAACAAAAGATCATAGAAGCATTAATTTTTACAAGCATTACTTATTTTTTTTGGCCAATTGTTTTTGTAGTCCTCCAAAAACTCTAGTGCCAGCATAAAGTTTATCTGTATCTAAACTAAAGAAGTTGTTCCAGAATACAGTATGTGATGAGAGCACATACTCATAAGAACTCATTGATAAAAGAATGAGTCAGCACTGTGTTGGCCACAATTGTGTTGACACTGTGTTGGCCACAATAGGGTCTTGGTGGTGGAGGTGGGCCCGCTTGAGCACCAAGGGCAAGCAGTACTAGAATGGGGTTGTCCAGCACCCAAAGCAAGGATCCAGAATTGCACCCCCCTCCCCCACTGTTAATACAAGCCTTAAAAGTGGTGTACCACCCTGCATTTATTCTTTCCCCCCCCTTGCTAGTCTGTGCCCAGGGCAGCTTCCCCTCTTGCCCACCCCTTGTTCCGACCTTGGAGGCATGGCTGGGCCAAACTGCTAGACCAGGTTACAATATGCCTGACAACACCTCGATTTGCCTTACCAGGCTTATTTGTAGCATTGGAGCAGTAAAGGCTTCTTTCTGGCAGCTCGACCATGCAGCTAATTTTTGTTTAAGTATCGTCGTATTGTTCTCCTTGAAACAACCGCACCATTTTTTTCCACAGCATCCCGAACAATACTACTGGCACTTGTGGCTGCAGTCATTCTCGGTCTACCCGACCTTGGCTTGGTATTAAGGAAACCCCAAACTTTCCACTTCTTAATAAGTGATTGGACAGTTCTGACTGGCATATTCAAGGCTTTGAATATCATTTTACATTCTTTTCCATCTTTATAAAGTTCAATTACCTTGTTACGCAGTTCTTTTGACAGTTCTTTTCTGCTTCCCATGTCTCAATATTTAGCCTGCTCAGTGCATCCACGTGAGAGCTAACAAGCTCACTGACTATATATGCACAGACACTAATTGCAATTTAAAAAGCCACAGGTGTTGGAAATTAACCTTTAATTGCCATTTTAACCCATGTTTGTCACCTTGTGTGTCTGTACCAAGGCCGAACATTCCAAGGGATGGAAACTATTGATCCGGGCCATCTGGGTGATTTCAGTTCTCACTATAATTTAAAAAGAAGCCAAACCACTATGTGATAATAAATGGCTTCACATGATCACTATCACTAAATAAAAGAGAGTTTTTGGCATGATCAGTCATTTTTCAATATCAATGCCAAAATTTCACTATTTCTGCCAGGGGATGCAAACTTTTGAGCACAACTGTGTGTGTGTTATTATTACAAAGTAATTTAACAATAATGCACACAACTTACCCAAGACAGCAATGATGACAAATACAAGTAAAATAATAAGTATTGCTTCATGACTTCTGCAGTACTGACATCTTTCATCTGTGAAAAGGAAAGAATAGCAAAAATTGTATTTTTGCTAATTACAATTAATTTTAAATATTTTTAATACTAAAAATTTTATCTGCTTTTTATATGGATTTTCGTTGTGGAAATTGGGTGTGCTACACAAAAAAACTAAACACACTGGTCATGTAATATACGCTGTCTTCCTACATTTACCAGAAATTCCCGGCAGTAAAAATTACAGCCAGAAGTTGCTGTGTAAAAATAGCAGCTATTTCATCTGCTGCTGTCAATACGGGCCAGTTCATACACTGTCTGTACATTAAATTGCAACACTTTAGTGTGCATGCAGCTCTCTGTGCCAGCAGCAGTGAATCAGCAGTAGGGGGCGGAGTGATGTTTCATTGCATCACACAGCTCCATTTTTTTTCTACAAACTTTATTTGATGTACGCAAAATGACAATTCATTTATGTCACTGTTCAGCAGCGCAGTGCATTACGCTGCACAGTGACATGTGGTGCCTTTCTGTGTGCTGCAAAAAATGCAGCATTTTGTTATTATTATTATTATTATACAGGATTTATTTAGTGCCAACAGTCTGCCCAGCGCTTTACAAAATGAAGGTAGGTATAAATGCATGTCTGCATTTTATAACAGGACGCTTAGAAAACAACTGTTTTCTGTGTGTCCTAGCGATGATTGTGTGGAAGAATGCTGATCACTGCACTATATGTGAACAGGCACTGAAAGATCTTATGATTCAGTGTTTCAGACATTAGATAGAGGGATACAAAGTAACATTGTTAGTTATATGTTTAGGCTGATACATTCACCTGCAGATCAAAGAGATGAGCTCACTGTTCTCCTTCCTGAGAGGAAGCTGTACCTGAGGAGCTGCAGTGCAAGGATCTCCTTGCTTCTCCTTCATTCCCTGGATCTGTGCCTAGGCACACCTGTTCTTTAGCTTTGTAGATGAAGATCTGCAATGCAGGATCAGCTAAGGCACTGCTGTGTCTGGCTGCTAGTCTTACCAGATTTGGATTGAGATTTGATGCTGCCACTCCTGTGCAGCTCACTGTTCTCCTTGCTAGAGAGGAAGCTGTACTCGAGAACCTGCACTGCAAGGATCTCCCTTCTTCATCCATTCTGTAGATCTGTGCTTCCTTCACCTGCTTCTTGAATATTTCCTCACAGGTCATCAGGGAAATAGTTTGTATGTGAAGAAGCAAAGCCCTGCTCATCTACTATTCTGGCCACTTTCACAAAGAGACACAGTGCAGAGTAAGGCATTGTAAGTCAGTAATGGAGAGGAAAGAGCAGCAGCAGGGAGACCACAGACAATACAGGTGACTAGTCCTTAGTCCTCTGCTTACCTTTTTGGGGCACAGAATCTTAGTACATGTACTCTGTAACTACTTGCCCTCCAGAAGGTTTTACCCCCTTCCTGACCAGGCCATTTTTTGCTATACAGCACTGCGCTATTTTAACTGACAATTGTGCGGTCATGCAATGCTGTACATAAATGACATTTTTCACACAAATAGAGTTTTCTTTTAGTGGTAATGGCCACTGTTTTTTTATTTTTATTATATACGATAAAAGACCAAAAATTTTGAGGAAAAACTTTTTTTACTTTATGCAATAAAACATATCCAATAAAAAAAATTAATTTCTTCATAAATTTAGGCCAAAATGTATTCTGTTACATGTTTTTTGTAAAAACAAAATCCCAATAAGTATTCCAATATTAATTGGTTTGCATCAAAGGTATAGTATCTACAAAACATGGTATATATTAGATTTTTTTTATACTAGTAATGGCGGTGATCAGCAATTTACAATGGGACTGTGATAGTGCAGTGGGCGATCTGGCACTAACTGACACTTTTTGGGAACTAGTGACACTAATACAGTGATCAGTGCTAATAATATACACTGACACTGTTCTAATGACACTGGCTGGGAGGGGGTTTAACATCTAGGGGCAATCAAAGGATTAACTGTGTACCTAATAGTGCTTGGTGTGTGTACTGTGTGCGGATATAACTAAGGGATGTGCCAATTTTTATCCACAAAACAAAAAACCGGCACATCCCCGCAGTCAGGATAGAGCTCTGTGTTGTTTACAATCACAGATCTCTGTCCTGTCCTCTGTTTCGCTGACCAGCAGGCCCTGGCCATCAATCATTGGCCGGGACCTGCTGATTGGCTTGTGCTGCAACTAAACAGTGCAGTGGGGGTGGTGGATGGGTGGACGCACGCGTATTCCCTACCCAGAAGAGATGGATTACGTATTAAATACATGATCCAGCACAGAGAGGCCGTCTTGCCGCCGTACTCCTACGGGAAGGCAAGCAGTTAAAAGAGAAATATGGACTTTATAGAAAAAAAAATGTATACTCACCTAGGTGGATACAGCATCGAACCGCTGATCGCTCAGTTATTCATTCCGCTCCGAGCAGAGACTGTTAGTCACCGGCTCTCTGCTCTGCCTCTCCAGCGCTCCCTGGAATGCTAAGCTGTGGAGGGGGCTGGAGCAGCTGCCTCAGACTCTCGGTGGATCGCTGAGAGTCTGAGCCAATTGCCGATCACGGCTCCTAGGGGGGATACCAACCATATGGTCGGGATCTTTTTAGAACCTGGACCAGGTGAGTGACGTCAGCTGACAGCGGACTTTAGCCTGCTGTTGGATGAAAATGAGTCATAAGGGTGCAGAACAAATTGCATTCATGTGATCCATAGGAGTACAGCCAAAATACCAAATAGCATTGGCGATATTTCATAGAAATACGTTTCTGTATGTGCATTTTTAATGCATTTTTTGACACATTTAAGGACAGGTGCGTTTTTGGTGCATGTAAGTGCGTTTTTTTTATGCGTTTTACTGCGTTCCATTACAGTTCATTGCAAAACAAAGTGCATCATGTTCTACTTTTTTTTTTTCTGGAACTGACCGCACTGGTGTGAACTATGCCATCGGAAACCATGTAACCTACTATCAATGCGTTTTTGATGCAGAAAAAAAAGGCACTGGACTGCATGTGGTGTGAACTGGCCCTGAAAGTGGAGAAAGGCCTTATTGTAACTATTGTTAAAAATGCTCCCCCCCACCTCCTACCTATTCCTGTCTGACCTGTATAAAAAAGATCTGTGTACTTACCTATTTTTAATCTGCTCCGGTCCCATCATGTGATCCCAGAGCTCCAGCTCTCTGATGTCAGTGAGCAGCTGCTGCAGGGGAGAGGATGAAGCACCGACAACGACTGAGCCATGTGAGCTGATGGGTGACGTCACGGCTCCCGGAATTCACAGTCGTTGTCAAGCGTTCCCATGCACAGAGCTGCAGTATCATGTGACCGCCCAGATTGAAAATAGATAAGTACACAGATCTTTTTTATCCACTTGCAGACTGCCTGCCTACAATGTGCTGCGGACGGGCGGCCTGAACAGGCACATCAACACACCTGTATGTTGCTGGACTCTTTCATGTACAGGGCACACACTCACACCCCCCCCCCACCGACACCCAATGCGATTGTACACAGGAATTTGTCAGCAGGTCCCAGCCAATGATTCATAACCAGGACCTGCTAATCGGCTGTGTCCAATCACTGCCCACAGCCGTGTGGTCAAAACACATAGGAATCTGTACACTGATCATCGATCTGGCTGTTTCTTCTCTCTGGAAAGCAGGGAGAAAAAACATCCAGAACTCTTAGTAAAGCAACTCACATTACACACACACACGGCTCTGTACAAAGGGAATGATCGCTTTGCTTCTTCTCCATGCAAAGCAGGGAGAAGAGACAAAGAGATATTTAGTAAAAAGCAGCACACATTACACAAATGAACACATTGTTAGGTACACATTTAACCCCTTGATTACCCTGAGATTTTAACCCTTCCCAGTCAGTGTCATTAGTACAGTGACATTGTATACTGTAGTATTATCACTGATCACTGTATTAGTGTCACTGGTGATGTCAGTGGCAGTCAGTTCCCACCCAATGTCAGTTAATGTCAGATTGGCCGCTGCACTGTCACAGTTCCACTATCAGTGGCTGATCACTGACAGGCCCCCTCCCTGTCTTTTAGTTTGTGTTTCCTTGGCCTGAAATAGCTTGTTTGGACATATTTCTGATAAGGCAAGGTTCACACTATTATGGGTGCGGGAATGTGTTTAAATCGCAGGCATGCGCAGACAAAGCCACTTTTTAGCAGACACGTGGGGGTTCCATTAATTCTTAATGGCAAGCCCACGTATCGCATGGCGCTTTTTGGGTGCATGAAAACGGATGGTTTTCAAAAAAGGGTCAGGGTCTTCTTCCCTGTGGCAGCCTGTCTTTGCAAAACGCAGCTCGCAGTAAACGTTCGATGTGAACCTAGCCTAAAGCGACCATAGAAGGATCTAACTTCAGCTGCTTCAGCAGGGACCAGACGGATTTCGATCCATCTATGGGCAGGCTTGTTGTGAAGTCAATCTATTGATCAACTTCATTACAACCAGCCTGTTTTTCTTTTTACTTTTTTTTAATACAGAATACAAAAACTCAAGCAATTTTCATTCCTGCAACCTATGAAAGGAAAGAAAATTGCTTAAAGTCCAGCTTAAGATCCAAAGTGTTACTAAACCCACAACAGTAAAATCGGTCTGTATATGCAGTAAAGCATGCTTGGTATACTCACTGTGGATCCTAAGGGGTTAATCCTCCGCATTGTGTAAAAAGGCTGTTTGATCCTATCTTCTCTGATCCTCCCCTTCTTCTACTGTCCCCAATCCATCTCCTGGTAGAACAGAGCCTTGGGAGCAAGCTACACATGCTCAGTTTGGTGTGTATTGCTAGAGAGTTTTTTTTCTTGGGAGAGTGCATGTGATCAACACATGGCCAATCAGCACTGTCCAGACAGATTGTCAGGGGTCCTGCAGCCTCATAGGACAATCAGGGGTGAATGAAAACCCCTCCTACAAGCTTTAACCAGTGCTCTGCTGGACACTGATAGAAGTCACAAGACTGCTATATACTGCTGATGTGAAAAGGTATTTAGCAGTTTATATTTGCTACAATAATTGCATTTATATTTTCTGTGTACTGTGGGAGACCAGATATAGTGAATACAGGGTCCGGGGAGACCGATATAGTGAATGCAGGGTCCGGGGAGACCAGATATAGTGAATGCAGGGTCCTGGGAGTGACCCTGGGATATATAGTGAATGCAGAGTGCTGGGAGACCAGATATAGTGAATGCAGGGTCCGGGGAGACCAGATATAGTGAATGAAGGGCTCAGGGAGACCGGATATATTGAATGCAGGGTCCTGGGAGAGCGCATATAGTGAATGCAGGGTCCTGGGAGAGCGCATTTAGTGAATGCAGGGTCCAGGGAGAGCGGATATAGTGAATGCAGGGTCCGGGGAGAGTGGATATAGTGAATGCAAGGTTCAGGGAGACTGGATATAGTGAATGCAGGGTCCTGGGAAAGTGGATATAGTGAATGCGGGGTCCAGGGAGAGCGGATATAGTGAATGCAGGGTACGGGGAGAGGAGACCAGATATAATGAATGCCGGGTCCGGGGAGAGTCGATATAGTGAATGCAAGGTTCAGGGAGAGTGTGATCCTGGGAGAGTGGATATAGTGAATGCAGGGTCCGGGGAGAGCGGATATAGTGAATGCAGGGTCCAAGGAGAGGAGACCAGATATAGTGAATGCCGGGTCTGGGGAGAGTGGATATAGTGAATGCAAGGTTCAAGGAGACTGGATTTAGTGAATGCAGGGTCCTGGGATAGTGGATATAGTGAATGCAGGATCCGGGGAGAGAGGATATAGTGAATGCTGGGTCCGGGGAGAGGAGACCAGATATAGTGAATGCAGGGTCCGGGGAGAGCGGATATAGTGAATGCAGGGTCCAGGGAGATCGGATATAGTGAATGCAGGGTCCGGGGAGAGCGGATATAGAAAGCAGGGTCCGGGGAGAGCGGATATAGAAAGCAGGGTCCGGGGAGACCGGATATAGTGAATGCAGGGTCCGGGTTTAGTAACACTTGAATTGTTATCTTATTTTGCATACCTTATACCAATTTTTTTTTTTATACCTTGAATCAGTAGATGATATTCACGTTTATCTTCGCTCACAGGGTTTTTCACCCAGACAGTGAGCATCCTCCGCGCATCTTTCGTATCGACATTCTTAATAATAAGAGTTCGGTTGTCGTCTTTTAGGATGTATCTCGGAGGAAGGGAGCTTCCATCCAACTCCCATAACACAGAGGCATTTCCTCCGGAGAACAGAACCTCCAGGGAGACATCTGAGCCCTGCAGGCTGCTATTGCTAGTTATATTCTGTATCTTCACAGCATCTGAAAGAACCACAGAAAACAAAAAGAAGGCATGATAATGGTTACCAATTCCATTGTCCATATCTATATCTATCTCTCTGCGGTGCTCATGTGTTAACAAGGAACATGCTGATAGTAGGAGAGAGCAAGAGGTAGTCTGCTGCTTCTCCTTCTTGGGCCAATCATGATTTGGGGGAGGGACAAGACCTGTACATGTTACTTGAGTGCAGCAGAGAAAACTCAGGTGTCCTGGCAGGGCTGAGCTATGTGGCAGGGCTGTGTAAATCTAATCTAATGTAATAGGGGACTCTAGCAGGAGCCCTGATGTAAGAGGGGACTGTAATGGGAACCCTGATGTATGAGGGAACTCTATTGTCCTCTCCCCCCCAATATAAGAGGGGACTATAATGGGAACCCTGATGTAAGAGGGGACTCTAATGGGAACCCCAATGTAAGAGGGCACTCTATTGGGGACCTCAATGTAAGACGGGTCTCTATTGGGGACCCCAATGTAAGAGGGGTCTCTACTGGGGACCCCAATGTAAGAGGGGTCCCTATTGGGGACCCCAATGTAAGAGGGGACTCTATTGGGGACCCCAATGTAAGAGGGGACTCTAACAGGAACAATGATGTAAAAGAGGACTTTAACAGGACACCTGATGTAAGAGGGGACTCTAACAGGGACCCTAATGTAAAGGGAAACTCCAAAGGGAACCCTGATGTAAAAGGGACTCTAACGGGAATCCTGATTTAAGGGGGATTCTAATAGGAAACCTGATGTAAAAAGGGACTCTAACGGGAACCCTGGTGTAAGAGGGGACTCTAAAGGGGACCCAGATGTAAAAGGGTCTCTAATGGGAACCCTGATGTAAGGGGGGACTCTAACTGGAATACTGATGTAAAAGGGGGCTCTAACGGGACACCTGATGTAAGAGGGGACTCTAACAGGAACCCTGATGTAAGAGGGGGCTCTAATGGGGACCCTGGTGTAAGAGTGGACTTTAACAGGAACCCTGATGAAGGAGGGGACTCTAATGGGAACCCTGATGTAGGAGGGGATTCTAATGGGGACCCTGCTGTAAGAGGGGACTCTAATGGGGACCTTGCTGTAAGAGGGAATTTAACAGGAAACCTGATGTAAGAGGGGACTCTAATGGGGACCCTGCTGTAAGATGGGACTCGAATGAGGATCCTGATGTAAGATGGAACTCTAACGGGGACCTTGATGTAAATTGGACTCTTATGGGGATCTTGATGTAAATTGGACTCTTATGGGGATCTTGGTGTACAGGAAAACTCTGTCAGAGACCTTAAGGGGGAATCTTATGGGAACCTTAATGTAAGGGGAAGATTCTCTTGGGACCCAAATATAAGGGGGACTCTGATGAGGATTTTTTTTTGGCCCACAATTATTTGTAAAATATACAAAGCAACCCCCGTTCTGAAAACATAGGAGATCCCTGACCTGAAGCATGAAAAACATCTTACCTAATACAACAATTCCTATAGGTTCTAATAATAATATAATAGAACCATCATAAAAAGAGATTTGGTATGAACCAGTGTCATTCTTCTGAGCATCTCTCAGCATCAAGCAACCGCTGGAACTGTTCATGATGATTCTTTGGTCCCCCCAACGATGAATTTTGTGAACCAACTTAAAACATTCAACTACAAGAACAGTTGTGTGATTTCGCCGAAGCTTCAGGATTCCATGTTGCTGATGACATTGAAACCCACAGAAAAGATGATCTGTTCCAGTCTGTACATAATGAACTGCCTTAGCTGCTGACAAGAGGAGCAAAAGGCAGATAAATCCTGGAAGACAAAAGTTTGTAATATGAGATCACAATTTCCTTCAAGAAATGGGAAAGATGGTTCTGACTGTATACCATACAGGTGTCATTGGCAATTCAATTGTTACCTGATTGGACAATTTAGCTGTGTGATGTCATACGGCAGGGTATATACTATGTGGCCAAACATGGACATCTGACCATCAAACCTAGATGAGCTTGTTGGGCCTTTCATTCCAAAATAATGCCCGTTGATATGGACTTGTTTTCCACTATGTGGCTATAATCCTCTGCTCTTCTGGGAAGGCTTTCCGCAAGATATTGGAGTATATAATTGAGGGTAAGAAAGGTATCAGGTAGGAAAAAGGGGGTTTCTCATGTCTGCTTTGCCCTATTAGTTTGGGTGAGTTGCAGACTTTTGTTCTTCCTCTGGAGGAGGGTATATATAGAACTGGTTGGAGGTTAGAGGGGGTTGGAGTGGTGAGTGGTGTCCTGCAAGAGAGGAGTGCAGTATAATTGTTTGTGCCCCCAAGGGGTCCCCTGGGTCATTCAGTGCTATGATATAGATGCTTCATGTATCAGCCTTTTCCTGAAGGGTACACCACAGAAAATGTATCCCCAAGTGGGTTAACGCCCAATTCCTGGCCAAAAAACGTTTTTCCATACAGTAGGGCTGTACCCGCCAGGGCTAAATCTAGCCTGTCCGATGTGGGGGTGCAGTAAAAAATGCCAGGGGGGGCGGAGGATGGGAGGTCAGCAGGGCAGAGGACAGGGGTCACTGCTGGCAGGGCAGAAGACAGGGGTCACTGCTGACAAGGGTACAGCTCCTTATTTCCTCTCTGCACTGCACACTGACTGGACACAGGCAGCAGAGCTCCTCCTCCCCACACAATGCATAACTGAGATCAGTATAGTGTCAGTTAAGAACAGTACAGTATCAGGCTAGGGCAGTATAACGTCAAACTAGAGCTGTAAAGTATCGCATATTAGGGTGGTATTGTGTCAATTTTGGGCAGTATAGTGGTAGGTTAAGGGTGGCTTTGGGGGGAACAACTAAATTCTGGGGGGGGCATAGCCCACCCCAGCACCCTCCTAGAGCTAGCCATGGTACCTGCACTGCATGGGTTAACTGATCGTTTTGTACTGGGGTGACCAAAAAGCTTATACTCACCCAATCCTCTGCTTCAGCGGCAAATGGCGTTCCCCCACGATCCAGCGGTGGACTCTTCCTGACATCCTCACATCCAGAGCAGATCTATGCATTTGATCATGTCAGGAACAGTCCACCAGACAAGACCGCTAGACTGCGAGGGGACAGGAGCTGCAGGCAATGATCTTGTGTGGGGAGGATCGGAGGAATAGGTAAGAATATCTCCCTTCTCCAATCCCCTAGACAAAAAATGAGCAGGTAAGTCGTGCAATGCAGACACAGCCCCACTGCAAGGGAAAACTTTGTTAGTGCAGACCCTGTTCAGCGGGCAAGAGTTGGACACCTCTGTTCTGCTACGACTATAACCATGTCATTGATGGATTGTTATGCTTCCAGTTATGTTCAGTTAAAACCAAAGAAAATTGATGGACAAAGTTTTGTCTCTCCTTCACTGCTGGTTGGTGCGTGTGGCCTATACCTCAGGGAGTGAGTATGGACTTGCTTTAGATAGGAATAGGGCTGAAAGAGGTTGGAAGAAAGTGGGTCAGTCTGCCAGGCAACACCTTGGGTAACTATGCTCCTGGTATATGGGTGCGCATAGTCTTTTGGGGTGCGTGTGTAGTGCGACCACAGCAATACCCAACCCTGAATCAAAGGATGCTATTCTATGTAACTCTCATTAGGAGTGTAAGAACACATTAGCCTATGAAATGGTCTAGAAGTATGAGTTGTAATGTCTCAGACACATTACCCTAAAGTGTTTTAAGTCCACAGGCAAGCCTAGGAACTGGCTTAACAACCCACCATTAGGGATCACCACAGACTGATATTTGACTAGAAGACCGGTCTCACAATTGGCAATCCAATTCATCCGAAAATTGTTCAGTAGGGTTGAGGTCAGGGCTGTGTGCCGGACACTTGAGTTCCTGCACACCAAATGGGTCATACCATGTCTTTATGGAGCTGGATTTGTACACAGGGGCACAGTCATGCTGGAAGAAAAAAGGGCCTTCACAAAACTTCCAAAATGTCTTTGCGTGTTGTAGCATTAAAGGTACCCTGCACTAGAAACATCTGAACTACATTTGAAGGGTCTACATTATTTTCGCCATATAGGTAGGTAGGCGTGACGGTCAGGTGACCACAAACATTTGGCCATATAACGTAGTTGTGTATTTATACAGGATAATTTTGATTGCTTGTGTCAAAAATCAGGAACCTTTTGGTGCTAAAACACTCACCTGTATTAGAAGCCATGCAGTCTTGTGTTTCTTACTTTAATAATAAAGTATTTCTTAGAGCAGAATGAAGAACATGTGTTGAAACAAAAGTAAGCCACTACTTCAAGGTATGTGTGGAGAACGTTGTTCTGATGAATACATTCGCAGCCCTAAAAGTCTCTAGAAGTCATAGAAAAAAGTATTACAAGTCAATAACTACTGCAGTTCTGTCAGCCAAAACTCAGGACAGGAGAAGCAAATACAGAGGTTGACCACCGATATGTGATCTGTGCAGATATTGATTCTGGCAATCACAATCATTGCTTAGTCTAGAATGGACTTGCTTTGCTTGCTGTACATCTCAGGTACACTCTCTCCGTTACTAACTAGATGCCATTGCACTTTTCATCTTCCTATTTTATAGAGCTTTCCATATCCTATAATCTTAGATCAAGACCCTTAGCCAAAGCCATGACCTGACATGCAGTAGTGGTTCCAGTCTGGAAACAGTTTAGGTATCCTGAGAAGCCTAAAGTCTTCTTCTTCAAGATGAGAATATCAAGTCACTGAAACAAACTTCTACTATGATTCTCTGCTCATCTGTCAACAGTTTTTATGTTTCAATTTCATAAATACAACTGATGTTGAACAGATCTTCTAGAAGAAATATGGACTTTCAGGTTGTCTCTGGCAGGTTCTTGAGATGGGCTTCCTCTCCAAGGTGTGAAGATCAGATCACTGAAAACAAACTTCCAATATAATTCTCTGCTATGTCCAGAACAATCTTTGCTGTGTCCAGAACAGGCTTGCTTTGCTAGCTGTACATCTCAGGCACTTTCCGTTACTAACTGAACGCCATTGCACTCTGAGTTTTCCAGATCCTATGGAACCCTAGATCAAGGCCTCCAGCCAAAGCCATGACCTAACTTAGAGCAGAGGTTCTGGTCTGGGAACACTTTAGGTCTCCTGAGAAGTTTGAAGTCTTTTTCAAGATGAGAAGATCAGATCATTGGAACAAACTTCTAGTATGATTCTTTGCTCATCAGCCAAAAGTCTTTATGTGTTTTTTTTTGCATAAATACAGCTGATGTTGAACAGATTTCTTAGAAGCAGTAAAGACTTTCAGGTTGCTTCTTGAACTTTGAACTGGAATTATAAATCAGGTCCCTGGGCATTGGAAACAAAATACATCATAAGTTGAAAAATATTTTTTTATAACATGTCCAAGAAAAGACATTTCCAGCTATTTAAAAGGCGCATACTGTAATTAAAGTACTGTATATTTTTACATAAACCTTTTGGGTTTTTTTTAGTTTTAGACTGGATACGGATGATTTGGAGCCTATGTCTGGTTTTATAGCTTGCTGTGTCTACTGGGAATATTAGCACTATATTGATCTTTGTGACCATTGTCTCTATTACAAACAATAATGGGGAATCCACACTTTTTGAGTTTTCACAGTAACGAGAGGAAATGTTCCAATGGGGATACTTTTTGTGATGACAGCTGTCTAAGGGGGAATATCCCCTTGCTTTAAAGAGATCTCTTTCTACATTCCATTGTGTGTCTGGGAAATGAAGGGAAATCTCCCTGACAGCAGAAAAATCTGACTGGGGTCTTGACCATTACCTACTCTATACATATTAAAAAAAAAAAAAAAAAAAGACGTGGGTATACACGTTATTTTATTCCAACCTTTCTGGGCTATATTGTGCGATCCTACTCTTGCAGCACGTATTGGGTTGCTTTTGTGTCCCTTCTGGGTTGTGCAATTTCTTGGATGTCTGCTAAGTGTCCCTATAGCCCCTGGCTCACCTTGGAAGCAGTCATGGGGCATAAAAGGACCTGTATTTCAGTGGTGGAACTACCAGGGTCCTGACCAGGGCCTGTCGTTCTGCCACCATAGAAGGGGTCCCATAACGGCAGGAAGGCCATGTAAAAGAGTCCCGCTGCAGGACCGTAAGAAAAGGCTCCTGCAGTTGGGAGTAAAGGGCTCAGTGGGAAGGGCCTGGGGTCCAGAGGAAAAGGCCCCAAGCTCAGAAGGAAGGGCCTCGGAACCAATGGAAAGGTCCACGGGACCGTTGGAAAGGGTCTCAAGACTGAAGCAGTGGGGGCCTTCATGATTTCTTGCACCAGGGCCCTGAAGGTTCTAGTTATGCCTCTGCTGTAGTTGGGTTGCGAGGAGTAGAGAAGAGTGCCCGGTGAAGTGGAGTGAGGATGGTTGTTGGCCTAGTAGGATAGCAGAGACTATTTAGGAAAGCATGTAAATGCCTACTGTGTGACTTCTTCCCGTCCCCCCAAGGCAAGTCGGAAACCAATCTCTCTGAGGGGCCGAGCCAGGGGAGCTGGAGATCCTTAGTAGAGAAGGATTTTTTTAAAGGCTTCCCTTTTTGCAGGCAGTGGATCCAGAACATCAAAGCTTAGAAATGAGAAGGAAAAGTGTTTTAGTAAAAAAATTGTTCAGAGGTCAAAGATATTCTGTATCTATCATAAAATGATGGATTCTTCTCTTCAACTAGACATTCGTGTGACCCTGTTATCAACCATCCCAGTTTTTTATTAAATCTATTAGAAAAGACATCGTATGTCATATGCTCATCACAGCGCTAACTGTTAGAGCTCGTAACTGGTGTAAGTCGTTCTGTCCCTCAAAGGCGGAACGGGTGTATGAGATGAACAAGATTTGATCAATGGAAAAGTTGATCCATGCTGAAGAGAGACTTTTGAAAGGATCCCCATAGGGCTGTGGAAAAAGGGGGTACCACCAGTCCTCCTTTACAGGGCCCAAGCCAGCAGGGGGGCCCAGGCAGCTGGGTGAATCGGATATGGGCAGAGAGGGTGATCGGCATGGTGGGGGCGTGGGGGATATCTGGAACCAATCCCCTGTATGGCTTTCTCTGCAGCAGCTGAAAGCTGGTTTCTTCTCCTCTCCCTCCCACTGGCTTCAGCTGCTGCAGAAATTAGTTCCAGTAATTGCCCCCCTCGCCACACCCATCACTGTCCCTGTACACCATACGTCTCCCCCTGCTGCCCAGGCCCCCCAGTGTACCCCCACCCCTGCAGCACTTTTGGCTGGCCTCCTTTCCTTCCCATGAACAGCTGTAAGCACAAAATAGGATCCCTCAGGAAGGAGAGTGGGGGAAGGGTCCGGTAAATATGTCACAGTTGCCAGCCCTTTCCTTTCCTGAATGAACACAATGAGTGATTGGTGCCGACCACTGACTGTGTTAATTCATAATTGTGTGGAGTTGTATTTTTTGGGAGGTGGGGGGAGGGGCCTATCAGGTTGGCTGTATGGGGTCCTATGATTTCTAACAGCAGCCTAGGATCCCCAGTAGAGTGGCTGCAAAGAGGAACATTTTCAAACTTTGGCTACATTTTCCCAATACTTTCGAGGGTTGAGGATTGTATTACTTGGCCCTCCCCTCCTTTTTTCCTATGTTGTTCTAGGAGGACTCTTTAGACAGAATCTGGCCTCATGCCCTGTTTCTCCTTTCCAATCCCCCTCCCCCCTTTTTTTTCTTCATCTCCTTCTCTCCCTTCATTTTTTTTTTTCTTTTTGTTTTATTGTCTCTTTTTTTAGGGTATTGGTAGCAATTCTTTTTATTTTGTTGATTTATTTTTGGGTTACATTTTTATTACATGAATACATGGAATACATCAGTTTTTATTATTGTTATATTTTGACTACAGTTATTGTCATTTGCAATTGCCCACGGCCTTATCGCCTGGCTAGTGGAATTACATTTTATGGTTGATACAGGGTTATGGTTATTGATATAATCCACTTTGCCCTGGCCAAAAGGTCTCCAGATGGAATATTTGGGTTTTTAAAGTGTCACACAGGACCAGCCAGCACTGTCCAGACAGAGAGTCAGGGGTTTTGCATCCTCCCTAGAGCAGAATGAAAACTCCTCCTACAAGCTTTAACCAGTTCTCTGCTGGACACTGATAGAAGTCACAAGACTGCTATATACTCCTGATGAGAAAAGGTATTTAACAATTTATATTTACTAAAATAATTGCATTTCCATGTTGTGTGTACTGTGGGAGACCAGATATAGTGAATGCAGTGTCCCGGGAGACCGGATATAGTGAATGTAGGGTCCAGGGAGACCGGATATAGTGAACGCAGGTCCAGGTCCAGGGAGTGAACCGGGAGACCAGATATAGTGAACGCAGGGTCCGGGGAGACCAGATATAGTGAATGCAGGGTCCGGGGACACCGGATATAGTGAATGCAGGGTACGGGGAGACCGGATATAGTGAATGCAGGGTCCGGGGAGACCAGATATAGACAATGCAGGGTCCGGGGAGCCCAGATATAGTGAATGCAGGGTACGGGGAGACTGGATATAGTGAATGCAGGGTCCGGGGAGACCAGATATAGAGAATGCAGGGTCCGGGGTTTAGTGACACTTTAAGGGCCAGTTCACACTACATGTGTTTCAGTTGCTTTTTTTCTGCATCCAAAACGCAGAGAAAGTAGGTATTGTTGTCAATGTCATAGTTCACATCAGTGCTTGCAGTTCCAGTGTGTTTTCGAAAAAAAAAAAGTACGACAGGCTGCATTTTTCCTGCACAGAACTGTACTGGAACGCAATAAAATGCACTGGAACGCACCAAACCACAACAAAAATGTACAACACAATTGACGAAAAAGAGAGGGGAAAAAATTAACTGGAACACATAAAAAATGCATCGGAGCGTGCCAAAAATGCGTACAAAATGCACATCCAGAAAGCATCTGGACTGCGTTTTTATGGAGTTAACCGGCCCTAAGAGTAAGGATTTTGGGTGAGAAGAGGAGGTGGATCGGTCTGTGAAGGCTCCTATTCTGGTTCTGTCAGCAGTGAGCTCCCTCCTATCCCTTTTAGGCTGTGTGGGTGGGTCCAGCCGGACGATTCTAGGTCACAGTGGACGGAGTTGAGGAGAGTGAGCCGCACGTTCCTGCTGGGTATGTAGCAGCATACTGCTTGGTATAGTTGAGGATGGCTCAGATCTCTTCTTTTTCCTCTCTTACGCAGGATCACCTC